AAATTGGCATCTGTGTCAGTAACCCTTTTTTTCAAAACTATTGTATACATACATTCTCTTAAGTGTTTTGTTCACAGAATACTGCTAACAAAATTCTCTCTGTTGGCATATCAAGGAAAGAGCCTGTCCTTGGTACCATTCAACTGCACAAAATACAATTGCTTCTTCTCCTCTTGTGGTCACAGACATACCTGAGGTTCTATTTATGTAAGTTGCTTCAAATTAGTGAACCTTAATTTTGACATCTGTTCTCTGTAATGTGACACTGCAGTGTTCTTACAAAGCTGCTTTACAGTTGGAGTTTAATTGGTAGCAACACCAAACAATGTCAGAGAGACAAGATAAATTATTTCCGTCACCTAGAAGGTATCTCAGAGACCAGGCTCAAAACAAATAACCTGGAATGTGGAGGTGGTGGTGGTGGAAAGTATTTGTGATCACTCTCATCTTGTCACCTGTATTTTCTTCAGATAATGAAGTGCTTCTCTATAGATAAACATTAATAGATACAGATATATCACTATAAATGCTATGTTATGGTAGTTTACATGATTTTCAATAGTTTTTCCATTGAGACCTTATGAATTGTTGGAAATCTAGTCAAGACTGTTCTTTAGGAACATACTCAAACTATCACTATGAATCCTAAAATATCCATGGGAAAGCTACAGAGAAAAGCATCCTAATTAAATGATCTACCTATAAGGATCTACATACAAGCTACGTCCCAGAGATATCTGCCTCATAGGTTGAAAACAATTGTTTTCTTCTCTCATCAGAACATCATAATCTCGGCCAAGGCTAGTGCACATAGAAAAAGAGAACTGGCCATTCCTTTCTTGGTGGTGCCCTTTGATTTCTGCTCATGCCCTCTCGCAGGTGTTTACAACACTGTGTTGTTCTTATTTGTCTACATTTCTACCATTCTTCATTGGACTATAAGCTCCTTGAGAGTTCGGATAGTAGGCCTATATCTATTCTAAGACAGATTTCAGTAGATACCCAATAAAATGTTTACCAAGTCAAAATGGTTAAAGATGCAGAAAGTTTGTGTTATAATCTAAATGAACTGGTTAGTGAACAACTCACCAACTGGGATCAAAAAACTGAAATAAATGAGGCAAGGAGAAACGGATGAAATTTTCCTTTGCTTCCCTGAAATTTTCCTGCTATATAAATACCCTTTCATCAGATGTAATCCTATGGCTATTGAGATTTAGTGAAAGTTACACTTGATAATTCCTGCTTAAGGATCAAAATCAGAAGACATGTTGGTTATAAGTTAAAAATCTCTTGGATCTGAAGAGGCAGTTTACCTAAATTCATAGTAAATAGTTTAGAGAAGAGCATGTAGGGAAAATCCACAATTATAGAATATCCTGCAAACTGCTTTTTAAAAATGTGAACATTCTTTCTATTAAAAACATTTGGCTTCCTTTATGAGGCAATAGCCTCTCTCTCAAATATTGTGAATAGTCAAATCTGCTAACCTCCTCTCAGGGAAGCTGTGATAAGAATTCCTGCACCGGGAAGTTTGCAGGAGATGATCTGATGGTTATATACATGAAATTCAACTATGCTTAGGACTCCATAGTGATCTTGCAGCTGTTAAAACAATTATAATGGGGGAAGATAAAAAATGTTGGTTAATGGATACAAATATACAGTTCAATTGAAGAAATAAGCTCTAATGTTGCATATTAGAATGGGGATGACTATAGTTAACCACAATGTATTGTACCTTCCAGAACAGCAAGAAGAGAGGCCATGAAATGTTCCCAAGAAATAGGAATGATAAGTACCTGAGGTGGTGGATATTCTAGATACCCTGCCTTGATAATTACATATTCTGTGCATGTAACAAAATATCACATGTACTCCATAAATATGTCCAAATATTATGTATCAATAAAAAAAGATAACAACTTATTCTTAAAACATTTGGACATATTATAGTTGATGGTAGCAGTGGTGAAATGTGTATTTCTACTCATCTATATGTTCCATAAGTAAGTGCATTCTTTTTATCTGTATTCCCGAGGATCAGCACAGTGACACAGAGTATGCATTTCAAAATGATTATTAAATACATGAAAATTTTTTTTAACAACTGATTCTTTACTTGTTTGCCTGCTTTTTTTTTTTTTTTCAGTCCCTACTCCTAGGTCTGTAATTAGCATGCTTATTTTAATACAGTTGTATGGATGATAAATTACACACTGATATGGGATCTCCCCAAATGACAGACAAGTATAAAAATGAACTTGGGGAATCAATCAATCAAGAAGCCCTTTCCAGGAACACTGTATGTTTACAGTCCTACTATACTTTCTAGTGTAAAGTCATCAACCCAAAGGAAGCAGGGCAATGGCTGGACCAGCCAGGATGGTGTTACAAACCAGCAGTCTGGTTGTTCTTGGCCTGTGCCATGCTGGTGATCATGTATTTTTGAACATCAACTTTGATTTCTGTTCTAAGGCAATTTGTGACCCTGATGAGAAGACACCATGTAATTATAATTTTAAAATAATTAGACAATAGACAGTATATGAAAGACATAGGATTTATGCAATGGCTACACGGCATTTGTAGAAAATGGTCACATTTAGGAGGCAAAGCTCAGGAAGTGGTGAACCATGGGATTTTAATTTGGAACACAGGCCTTTGTGTTCCAAGGTGATTCCAGGTGTTAGTTTGGATTAATACAATCTGTGTATCGGGATGGGTGGCACCAGTCATTATTGCCTTTTCTACTTCCATAGGCTTTGTTCACCCAAAGCCACCTCATTCTCTAGAGAGGCGCACCAGGATAGTGTGTGTGTGGTGGTTGCTTCTTAAAGGCCACAGCCAGGTCACACATTATTTAAAGCGCTACTTTATTTAAGACAACTTTCAAGTGTTTCTTCTCCCTTTGCTATCTATGATTGCCCCATTTCAGTTTGCCATAGAGCAGCTGTTTCGATATCCAGCATTTATCCGTTCTCCGCATGCATCCAGCCCAGAGGGATTGTTAAGCAGATCATTGTTTTAATTCTGGCTACATTCCAGGTCCCCATTATTAGTGATCCTGTCTTAACATTTACTGTTCAGTTTGGCTCACAGGTGATGTTGATTAAATTGGATATGCCATCTGGGGTGGGTTTTCATCTTGTAGGCACACTCCAAGCTGAGCACACCTACGGCTTCATTTTGGGCTGACGTTTCATGCCACATTGGATGGCATTCTGGACATGATTTTCCACCACCTGGGCATGACTCTTGGCTAATTCATTTAGTAGTTGTGTTGAAATTAAGCAGTTCACTTCACTATCTAGGGTCTTGGTTTCCTGGTAAATAAACCAGAGAATAATCACTCATTCCTTTTCTTAGTTCCTTGTTCATTTTTTAACCATTTACTGGCCAGCCACTTTGTGCCTGATACTCTATGAGGCGTGCAGAAATCAGAGAAAAACAGGGAGTCCAAGCAGAGGCGACAGGATACGCAAACTGAAAGACAAGAACACCACATGTACTGTTCATGGAGCAGCTCTCTCTACTAACAGATGGGAGCGAAGAGCTCTAGAGCCTGCAGGACATGATCATTGAACTGGATCTTAAAGATCAAGAGCTCCGAACTCTGCTTTCATGCATCTCATCAATTAAGATATCCACGTGAGGGTAACACATAACAATTTTATTCCTAATTATTTGGGGAAATAATTCAAATATGTATGAATTACTTATTTTCTTATCATTTCATTATTTAAATACACAAAGCAGACTTGAATACATGCATTACATACCACAGGGGGTTGTTCTGTGACTCAAATGGCATGATGTGTGAACAGACACCTTCTAAAGTGCTGCAGAAGGCTCTTTTGAGCATGTAGCTGATGCTGCCTGCCCTGCCTGTCCCACTAAACTGTCACAAGGACTGAATTAGAAAAGGAATGTGAAAAAATGTTGAAAATGTAAGGCGCTGATAATCATAAGAGCAGTAACAACTCACATTTACTTTGTATTAAAACGCATCAGACACGGCTCTAAGTGTTTTACTTGTATTAGTTTATTTAATCCTCATAGCAACAAATACGGTATGGCCTAGAGGTGAGCCATACGAAAGTGTTAGTATTTGACCATTTCTGACCTACCAAAATGACAATGTCACACGGTTCAATCTGTTACTACCTTCCTATTTTACAGATGAAGAAATGAGATGCAGAGAGGTTAAGCAATTTACCCAAGGTCACAGAGTTAGCGAAAGCATCTTGTTTTTCCCATATCTGCCACTCTGTTCCAAGTCACCGTTATCCCTCACCTGGATGAATGTGAGAGCCTCCTAACTGGTCCTTCCACTTCTGCCCCCACCCTTCTTCAGGCTATTTTCAACCTAATGGAGATAGATCATGTTTAAATGTTGGTCAAGTAATGTCATGTTTCCACTTAAACCTATCAGCGACTCCCATCTCTTGCAGAGGTAAAGCTCATATCTCTACTCTGTCCTATGTGGCCCTGTGTGATCTGCCCCCAGCCCTACACTTCCTCCTTTGCTCTGCTCTACTCACACATGCCTGGAGCACCTCAGATCTTTGCACTTCCAGAGCTTTCCCCAGCTCTCCATGTGGCTCACTCCTACACCTCCTTCTCCTAACATATATATATATATATATATATATATATATATATACACACACACACACACACACACACACACACAGACACATACATATATATATACATACATACATACATATATATACACACATACATATATATATATATATGCTAGGAGAATCTATGCATCTTCTACACGGTTTTGAATTCTTGCATTAGGATTTTATCTTAGAGAAAATAAAGGAGTTGTTAGCTTCTAATGTTTCTTTTATTCTTCTCAAAATAATTATACTGCTTTTGCTGATAAAAAGGTAATTGAAAAGAATTGAACAATGCAATATACAATGTACAGCTGCCTCAACCATGCCGCTTTCCTTGCTTCCATCCTACCCTACAGATGCAGTCTCTTATTTATTTATTTATTTATTTTGTGGAGTTGGGAGACGTTTACTGGGGTGGGAGGGCAGGAGCTGGGAACATCACTGTCGCTCATACATCTCCCGTAGGAACTTCAGGCTTTCTGAATAACGAAGCTGGTTCCAATGAGAGGCCTCCTTCCACCTGTGGCTGATGCATTTCCAGCGCTGCTTGTTGCGATAGATCAGTGTGGAGGGCTCAGGCTCTACCTCGCCATCCGGGGTGCCCGGCATCTCAGGCTGCAGCGGAGATGGGATGCGGAATCTGCAGGCATCTCTGGGTGACCCGAGCGCTGTGGGTGGCGGCAGCTTGTACACATCCCGATTCTTGCTGTTGGTGACCTCTGAACCCTCCTCATCCTCAGGCAGCGAGGGCAGGGGTGAGCTGGGAGAGCATTCACGCTCGCTGTTTCACATCCAGGCACTGCAGACCGGGTAGAGCGGCGTGTTCTCAATGAACTGGGCCAAGTCCACGCTCCGGTCCGACAGCTTGATCACACAGGTGCTGGATCGCTGCGGCCCTCCCTCAGCCAGCCCGTCATCCATTCCCCTCTTCTTCCTCCGCCAGTGCGGGAAGCGGGCAGAAGGCCTTTTGCCAGTGGCTGCGATGGAGCGGTCCTTATTGTGGGTGCCTGAGGGGGTTTTCCCAGCTTCCTCATCCAGACGCTCCCTGACCATGTGACTCTTCTCCAGCAGACACTGCAGGACGGCGTCCAGTTGGTTCCGGGCTTTGGCCATCTCCAGCTCTGGCTTCTCCACCTTCACAGGGAACGTGGTTTGGGTCCGGGATGTGGCTAGCTGGGTCAGATGAGTCCCAAAGGGTCTAGGGTCACAAATCAAGGCGGGAGGTGGACGGAGACAGTTCGAAGATTTGCTCCATGGGCCACGGGTCTTCTGCCTTCGGTCGTGTACAGCTTGTATCCAGATGGAGTCTCTTTTTAACATGTGGAATATGTACTTCCAGCATTTGCTGTCTATGATATTTTATCATAAAAGTCTTTTATAAATACACTAGATAGAATAATATGCACTTCTCTATGAGCTGCACGTTAGACAAACTAATACTGTGCAAATTGTTCTACAGCCTGAATTCTTTATTTTACATTGTATCAAGAATAGCTTTTCATGCCATATTGGTTGGCCTTATCGAATTAAAAGGCTCCATACGGTTCCATCACATGAATATATTATAACTTATTCTACCAGTCCTTTAATGATGAATATTGATACTAAAAACAAGGCTGTAATTGATATCCTTATATGTAAACGTTTACTTCTATTTTTAGGATAAAGTCCGAAAAGCACCGTTACTAAGTCAAAATGTAGATATATTTTACATTTTGGTACACATAACTAGATCGTACTACAGAAAATGTATGGCAATGTACACCCCCATCAATAGTCTATGATAATGCTCACTTACTAAAACCTACCATCACCTTTGGCATTCTAATAGAAGGCACAGAATCTGTTAGCATGTTCGTGATCTCTAAACCCTATACAGCAGATACTACACAATGTCATCTTCAATGGTGATTGGAGATGAGTCCAACAATTAATGTAAGTCTCACCTAAATTAACACAGCTCCAAAAATAGCAACAAACTGCTGCACAATAGAACAGTAGTTATTGGATCAAGGGTACGGCCTTAGATGGGTTTCACCATTTTTAACAGGACTGGACGCTAACCGAGGTAGACACTGCATTTAATATTCTGAAATGCAGGGTTAGCCAGCAATGGCAATGATGTGATACACAAGCCTGTCCCCACTCTCTGGCCTTTGACAGACAAAGAGAATTCTAATAAACTCAGTCACCACCTCTGAATCCTTCACAACACAGTGCCCTCAGCAGCCACTGCAAATTCATAGGATAGGTACATCAGGCACAACCTGAGCTACACGATGTTTTTCACAGACAAATGGAATTCAGAAGATATAGAGTTTTCAGCAGGCTGTATTTTAGGGGAAAGGGGAAAATATAGGTGACATCTAATCAGGGCCTTTAAATCAATTTTCCCAGCATTTGATAGTATCAAAGATGGAATAGGTTGAAGCCTGAAGCCCTGTTGTGATTTGTGGGTGTGCCTAGAGGAAAATATTAACCAATAGTCAATTTAGAAAGATTCTGACCAGAATCTTGCTGAGGGAGATAAAAGTGATCCCATGACAGCAACAGCATTCATTTGATGATTAGGCAAAAGGAAATTCTGTATTTTTGAACAGTATTTCTTAAACAGTATGTATCTTTCAATAGATAAAACAGGTTGCTGTCAAAAATTCTTAAAATTTTTTTCTTAGTATTATTTTAATAAAGACAATTAATGTTATCTATTGCATCAAACAACCCCAAAATTTCAGTGGATTCGCAATAAAGTTTATTTCTTGCTCCCCCCAAAATCAAAGAGTTTTTCTGAATGCTTCTTTCAGGTGATAACTATGAAACTCAGGTTATTCATGTAGAATGATTTCAATACATGGCCTCCATTGTTGCTACTGAAGGAGAAGAAAGATTATGAAAAAAAAAAAAAAACACAGTTTTTTTACAGCCAGTCCTAGAACTGCTGTACATCATTTCCATCCACTTCCAATTGGCTAGGACTTAGTCACATAGCCCTGCCTGAAGAAGCCTGGGAAATGGAGTCTCCCTGGCTGCCCCAGAAGAGGAAATGGGATTGGTGAGCATCCAGACAACCGGTCTTCTTCAAATATACAGCCAGGCTTGGGACTTGTATTATTCTTTGTAAATCTGGTAGCAATAAAAATGTGGATGGAGAACTACTTTGTTATATTTCAATGGGTTCTCTATTCCATATAATTCTTCACATATAATTGTATCATAAGTACAACTCAATTCATAGGTTGTTATTGCAAAACATATATTTTCTTCTACCTCATTTTCTGACATAAAACTCCTAAAATCCTTAGAATCTCCAAAGCATGTTATTGAATTCACTGACTGGCTGCCTCCAGGTAGCTTCAGGATAGGACTGGTCACAGAAAAGACCAAGGCAAGATTAGAGGATTGGAGCTTTCCACCCCACTCCCCCCAAAACTTTGGGGATAGAAGAGGGCTGAAGGTTAAACTGATCCCCAATGGGCAATGGGCATTTGTTTAATCAATCATGCCTAGGTAATGAAGCCACCATAAAACTCAAAAAACTAAAGAGTTTGGAAAGTGTCCAAATAGCTGAACACATGGAGTTTCCTGGAGGCTGATGTCCTTGGACAGGGCATGGAAGCTTGCATACCTCTAACCCCGTACCTCACCTTATGCCTGTCTTCATCTGTGTTCTTTGTAATATCCTTTCTAATAAAGCAGTAAGTCAAAGTAAAGTGTTCCTGAGTCCTGTGAGCTACTCTAGCAAATTAATTGAATCCAAGAAGGGGGTCATAGGAACCCCAATTTATAGCCAGTGCATCTAAAGCACATGCAAAATAACCTGGGGCTTGCAGTTGGCATTGGAAGTGGGAGCAGTCTTGCAGCAGTGCCCTCACCCTATGGGGTCTGTCGCTATCTCCAGACCAACCGTGCTGAGATTGAATTGAATCAGAGGACACCTAGCTGATGTCCCCTGCAGAATTGATGGCTTGCTTGGTGTAGAGGGGTGAGAGGAACCCCACACACATTTGGCCACAGAAGTCATCTGTGTTGATTGTTGTGGTATGACAGCAGAGAAGAAACAGTCTGTTTTTTCCCACTCAGACACAGACTCTCAGATCTGAACGCTGAATGCCATCTCAAGGGACTCCCTGGTTGAATTTACCTCTGCAGGCAGGTAGTAGACTGTCCAGTGACTCTCAACCCCTTTTAACCACCAAGAATTCCTTTAATTATTTTTTCTTCAAAGACCTTATGTTTAGAAATAATTTGTCCACCAAACCACATTTATAGAGCAACAAGCATTCATTTTTCTCATATATGTTTAAATATCAATATAAAAAATTCCAAATTAGAACTTCTGATCAGAACATAGAGATGACTCTTACACTGAGTTGATCTAAAGCTAGCCAGAAGCAAGAGACCCAGAGCTCCAGTGAGCCTGTGGGTTTATGCCAGTGTTATAAACTGGATTGTACCCTGCAAAATGCACGTATTGAAGCTCTAACCCCCACTGTTTCTGTATTTGGAGATAGACTCTGTATGGAGGTATTTAAGGTTAAGTGAGGTAATTTGGGTGGGGCCCTAATCCAATGGGACCACTGTCCTTATAAGAAGAGGAAGAGAGACACCAGAGCTATTTCCTCCGCTCACATGAAGGGAGGTCATGTGACAACTCAGCAAGAATGTGCTATCTTCAAACTAGAAGGAGTGCTTAGACCTCAAGCCTCCAGACTGTGAGGAAATAAATTTCTGCTGATTAAGTCAGCCAGTCCGTGATATTTTATTATGGCAGCCATAGATGACTAATATCCTCAGTTAGAGGTAAAATTTCTATTGTAGATCTTTAAAACGTGAAAATAGATAAATGTTTACATTGTCATAGTAAATCCTGATTAGGAACAACTATGTTATCATCTTTTTGCAAAAGAGCTTCATTTATGGTGGGTAATATCATTTGGTTTTTTTTTTTGTTTGTTTTTTTGAGACGGGTCCCACTCTGTCTGGCTGGAGTGCAGTGAGTCAATCGCAGCTCACTGCAGCCTCAACTACCTGGGCTCAGGTGATCCTCCCACCTTAGCTTCCCAAGTAGCTGGGACTACAGGCATGCACCACCACATCCAGCTAATTTTTGTATTTTTTGTGGAGATGGGGTCTCACCACACGACCCAGGCTGGTTTCAAATTCCTGGGGTCAAGCAATCCACCTGCCTCCCAAAGCGCTGGGATTTCAGGTGTGAGCCACCATGGGAAATATCAGCTTCATCTCATTTCCAATAGGTGAGGTTCTGTACAGCAAGGGCTATGTATCAAAAAGCCCTGACTGATGGAAGAATTTGCTTCATAAACAAAATTCTGTATGATTTGATATATTTGTTTTTTACTATAATGTCTCACCTACTGGAGGTTCAAGTTCTATTGTCAATATTCTCTTAGGCAATCTTGGCATACGATCATACATATACAGTAATTGCTGTTGAAACTGTCAACCCGTTATTATTTTTAGATTAGTGCAGAGGATGGGATAAAGAAATCATGACATTAAATAAAACATATTCAGATCCGCCACCAACACATCATTTCCCCATCCCTCTTCAAGGCAAGAATCAGTACTTGTAGGTGCAGGAAAAGTTATTGAGGCAAAATGCCAGGGTCATTTTTAAAATGCTCAAAAACTTATTTTGCAGAAAGTCACTGCTCATGGGCGCTTGACATTGTACCCGCTCCCTCACCACCATGTATGATTTTCACACACACACACAAACACACACACACACACACGATTCTGCTTCTCTATGACCAGTGCAGACTTAAAGAATGTAAAGACCGTTCGAAAGCAGGATTTAGCGTCCCCATTTTAATAATAAATACAAACACACACTTACCCAGTACGTTTTACGCCTGCCTGCAACAAAAACAGCTGAACAGATTGTGATGAAATTCAGAGACTGACAGTCTGACAAAAAAATCCCTTTTTGTCTAAAATCTGGCTTCCATAGGTTTGTGCAAATCTAAATATTTGATTTTGCACTGGAAAAGGAGCCAGTCTTATGTACAATTTATAAAATAAATGTGTAGATACATGTTTTAAAATCTCCAAATTTTGTCAACACATACTGTCCAACTTTAAAGACTTTTCTCCCCCATTTTTTTCCTATGACTTGGGTGTATATTCCCCTGCTTTTTAAGGCTTTAACTATACTTATCTAATAAGAACTCTTTTGCAAACCAGTGTTTCAATAGCGATTTAACAGTAGTTTCAGTGTCAAATTGCCCTTTCCTCAGCAGGGAGGTTTAAGCCTTGCTGTATTATACTTCCAAGACACTCAGGAGCTGGAGTTGGGAGATATAATATTTTCTTTGAAGTTTGCCTTCACAACGCACTGGGATGCAAACAAGCTTCAGTTACTCAGCAGTCAAACAATTCCATCACACGGCGACCAGGGCTACATATTATACCCAATTTTCTAATTACATCTTTATGATATTGACTACATGAGGTTAGGTGAAAACAGACTGGAATCACTATAAAATGCCTTGTCTAAGCAGGACATCTGGACTTTGAAATATTTTGCTTGTTGGCTTCAAATCCCCCTTTGGCAAGTCATAATCAAAATAAACATAATTTAATTAATGAAAAACTTTAAGATATTTCTGAAAAATTCTTCATATGTATGTTAAAGGTATTTATTGTGCCAGAGATATATATGACCCACTATATATGCATGTGAAGTTCTAGGTTAAAGCAAATACATTTTACTGTTCTACATATTATTATATTGCCTTTATGGTTTATACATCATAGCAATTTAGCTGTCTCAATGCTATTTTTTAAGGGATTTTTTAGACATTTCATAACTGAAAGTGGGACTTTCTCCTTTTGTAAGTTTTCTAAAGTTCATGCACGATGCAATCATTCATTTATAGCAGCATCTAGAGTGATCTATGTATCAGGAAAGAAAATTGAGGGGTTTCAGAAAGTTATCTAGGGTCTCATAGATCACTGGCACTACTGCCGAGAAGCAGAAGAGAGGGCCTGACTCATTAAAAGAATACACACTAATATTACCTGGCAGTCATCTCAGGGAACTGGGCCTCAAGGATTTTTATTCTCTTCTTTCTGTATATTTATATTTTTCTAATGTTAAATGACATATAGGAGAGACCATTGGTTTTTTTTTTTTTTTTTTTTTTTTTTTTTTTTTTGAGATGGAGTTTCGCTCTTGTTACCCAGGCTGGAGTGCAATGGCGCGATCTCGGCTCAGCGCACCCTCCGCCTCCTGGGTTGAGGTAATTCTCCTGCCTCAGCCTCCTGAGTAGCTGGGATTACAGGCACGCGCCACCATGCCCAGCTAATTTTTTGTATTTTTAGTAGAGACGGGGTTTCACCATGTTGACCAGGATGGTCATTGTTTTGAATGGATCTCCTGCACGAGGCCCCAGCAGACCTGACCAAACATGCCAGGTGCCACACAATCAAACTTAAACTTTAAGGGGGCCAGTTAAAAAAAACACCCACACAAATTAAAAACATAGCCACCAGTCAGAATGAACCTAATTGACCTGAACATCCCCCCTGTTGCAGCTCTAAGGAAAGTAACTTTGAAATGACCAACCCATTTCCGGTTCTGTGTCTGCTTTCTTCAGCTCTTTTCTGTGTATAAAGCCAACTTCCTCTGCTTGGAGCGCCTTTTCTAAATCTTTAGATGGAATGTGGCTGGATTCATGATTGACTAATAAAAGCCAATTTGATCTCTAAGTTTGTTGTAATTTTGTCTTTTGACACTAAAATTATAAAAACAAGCAAGTATGAATTGTGTCATCAAAAAAGCACAGATAACTAAAAGTCAGGATGAAGAAATGTCACATGCTTTGGGGAAAATCATAAGCACTGTCGTGTCCTTTATCTCTTATATCTAGGAACTTTGGACATAGACCACCTTGTCCTCCTCTGCAATCTTGTACAAAGAAAAAGTCAGCTACGTGTAGTTAAACATCTCCTGAGGTTGAAAAAGGTGCATGCCAAAGGAAGTCAACCACGCGTTAGTGTTTATTCAGAAAAGTTTATAACTATAAAAATAAATATTATTCAAGTCATATTTAGAAGAATTACAAAGATGCACAGAAAATTCACAGTCTCCATGAAGTTGCACAAATTAAGTCATTGACCCGCACTGAGTTGAACACCAAACAAGGTGCCCCTTCTTCTAAAGTAATGAATATTCCTCAAATGGCAAGGGAGCACAGGCTGCTGTTTGATGCTGATGACATTGAAAATTTTGGAGAACAGAAATCCCATCATTTTTCATTTGTATGCAAATTTGTCTGTTCCAGAAATTAACCCCTGGACCCCATGTCAGTTTTCATCTCTAGGAATTTTCTTTGCCAGCACCACACGGTGTAGTCTTGTCACTATCCTGAGGTCACTAGGTTTTCCCAGTTTAAAAATAACAACTAGCGCCACGAAAGTCATAATGGTGCTTTGTTTACCCTCATTACTGGAGGCTAAAGAGCACTAGAGGAGAGGCTGTTGTAAAATGCACATCTCCAATAGCTCGTCGTGCCAGTGGCATTGAAATGCAAACTACATCCTACTTTGGCCAGGCAGCATTCATTGCCCACTTTTCCTAGTGTTAAGGTAAACCTGGGACAATAGATCAATCCGATTACCCTTCTTTTCAGCCAGGTCTTCAATGGGTAAAAAGTTCCTTTGTTACTTCCCACCTTAGACAAATGTCATCATCTACATGTGAAGGGGAGAGAGGTGATTGAGGTTTTTAATTGATGTGGATTTAATTATGCTAATTTAGACAGCTGCAATGCATTTCAGTATAGCTGCATAATAGGGTGAGCAAATACAGGTGCCCTTCTCCATAGGGGTTTAATTTTTAACCTAGGTAGCTTTAAAAGGGAAAGAGCATTCAAAAGTATAGACAAGTTAAGATTTGTAAAGGAAGGTTCACGGGCCCTCCGAAATATTTAGCAGGCTTTACATGCACCTAAGACAGAGCCGGTTAAAATCTTCAAACTGGTCTCTAATTAGAATAGACCATTTTAAACGGTGGGTTTATCAAGAGTTGATTAGAGATAACACTAAACTAGAATTTTGGAATTAAAAATGACCTTTACTTCCATCTCTAAAAAAAAAAAAAAAAAAATCACACAATGGAAACGGTGATTTTTTTAAAAAAAAGTAGTAAGAATGTTTTAAAATATTTTCTTAAAAAGGAAGGGGATTTTGAATTTTGAACTTTAACAACAGGGTGAGTTTCCCTCACCATGTACAGTACATGACTTTCATCCTGCTCCTTGCACATGGAGACATGACACTCAGTGTCATCAATAAGAATAGAGTATTTGTTTCATTTTTTAAAATGCTGCCTAACACCAGTTTTTTGGTGAGTACTGCCCACACCCTGTTAAGACCAGAACAACAAACAGCTAACCCAAGTTGCCACATTTCCATATTGTTTCTGATGTCTGGGCCTCATACTTAGATCACACTCAGGGCATACAGATGGAAAGAAATCGCTTTTATAAATTGATATCCATCACCCACTATTTTGAATTCCTTTGAACAAAACAGTGTCAGAATTTTAGCTATAGAGTTTTTGAATATTTATTTTTCTTCATTCCTTTATGATTCCTATTTTATCTACTTCAGTTGTTTGGGTTTTAAACAAGATTTGACACAGAGTCCTATGCACCTCTCAGAGGCTCAAGAAACCCTGACTGGTTAATATGCGGCTCTCAAAAGAGGGGGGGTCTCACAGGGCAATACTGGACAGGTCAGTATGCAATGGTGTGAATGAAGAGGAAGAAATCTGAAGGGTTTTTATGGCTTCCTTTGCGGCTTGCTAAGGTAGGGAGGTCTGAAAAGGCTGCAGAGCTTCTGTTCCCTTTCACCTCTGGGTGACGCTTTCTTCAAGGCCCAACTTGTCTCCATAGACACAGATTTTC